CAGTCTGAAGAGGTATCGGTTTTGCGCTATCTTGCCACAGGCACACCACTTCTACTATGGCTGCAGTACATGTGGTGTCTCAATGATTCTAATCTTTTTCGGAAATTGTGCCGTTATATTTCTTCGAAGGTTTCCGGGTGGATTGCCAGTCTTAGAGAAGGATATCTCTGTATTCAAAGTGGTAAAGACAGCAACGGAGATCTACTTCATTATCTCCCCCCAGATTAAAAACATAATGTGCGTGTACTGGTTTAACACACACACACACACACACACACACACACACACACACACACACACACACACACACACACACACACACACACATAAACTCTCATACTGGTCAACACACACACACATACCCACACACATAAACTCTCATACTGGTCAACATACACACACACATGCACACACACATACACACACATAAGCTCTCATACTGGTCAACACACACACACATGCACACACACATACACACACATAAACTCTCATACTGGTCAACACACACAGACACATGCACACACACATACCCACACACATAAACTCTCATACTGGTCAACACATACACACACACACACATGCACACACACATACACATACATAAACTCTCATACTGGTCAACACACACACACACATGCACACATACACACACATGCACACACACACACACAAAAACTCATACTGGTCAACACACACACACATGCACACACACATGCACACACACATGCACACGCATAAACTCTCATACTGGTCAACACACACACACACGCACACACACACACACACACACACACACACACAAACACACACACAGCATTTTAAGATTCGTCTTAGCTCTACCGAATCCTACATGGACGAAACCAGTCTTCTTGCTACCTCAAGCAGGAGATATGAAGCTGTTGGTCTCTTTACGCTCGCAGGACGTGAATAGGCAACAAAGACTCATCTGTCCTTCTTCTGTCACTATATGCCGATCCATTTCGAAAGCAAAACTTTCATTGTTCTATAACAAAAATAAATCCGAAAATGTAAAAGTTTTGTATGTTACACATATTGTTTCTCAAATAAATGTTATGTTTAGATTATTCTCATTCTTTTATCGGGCTTATACATAATGCCTACTAATCATTATAATATCAAGTCGAGAAAAAAATGGTTTTCCAAATTAAGAAATGTAATAACTAAACATAAAATGTACCATCTCTAGACGAATGTTGAGCGCGTTTATATTGCTAGAATTATGGCCGGTTCAATCAAGGGCTTTATCTATGTGTTGTGTCAGAAACCTACCACCCCTCTTGAAGATGAACTTGTCTGCGTCTGTGAACAAAGACTTTAAATAGTGGCATGTCAGTTGACATGGAAGAGAGATAGACAGAGAAGTTCTTAGCTGAGCTACTTATTGACTACTCAGGCGATTTCTGTACCTTTTTACCAACCTATTAAAACCCTTTTTATTGTTACGTGTTATTTGGCGTTTGTCTCTACTAACCCCAAATCAACATCATAACACTATGTAAAATATATATGATTTTTTTCTTTTCAAATTGCTCAGTGGTAAAAGAAGAAGTACACACCAGAAATCAAAGGAAATAAAATAATAATAATAATAATAATGTAGTGATTTTAAAACACACACACTCACACACACATACTTTAACACAAATTCACTCGGTGGTCAAAACATACACATAGCAGCAGTGATATTTAGCCCCCCCCCAAAAAAAAAAAAACGAGGGTTACATGTGGCACAAGGCCGGGATTAACGTGGAATCTCCGAGCCCGTAGTCTCGACCAAAAATATTCCCTATTCGAACGCGTATAAACGGGTTCAGGGGTAGTCAACCTCCCCGAACGAGACTGCCCTTCGGCGGAGCCTCGTCCAGGTTATCAAAGGCTAGCAGTAGCGATTTTCCAAGCGTAGCTTAGACATGGCACATGGCCGAAAGTATGAGACACCCAGTGAGGATCGAAGTCACTACTAATTCCTAATTGTTCTAGCGAGACAAGCTTGCTAGCCATTACACCACCTCGAGGTGTCCTTACACATAGCAGCAGTTGGAGTTTAAAGCACTGTCGAACCCTACATGTACGAGAGTTTCGGATTGGTCACAAAACTGTCCAATCGCAGGTTGTCTTCTCGTTAGCGGGAGATCTGAAGCCCTCTCTTTTTCATTTCCAGGACGTGGACAGGCAACAAGGACTCATCTGTTCCTCTTATGGCATCACATACCGAACCTGTTCGAAAGAAGAACTTTCATTGTTTTATAACAAAAAAGATTTATAAAAGGTAAAAGTTTTGTATGCTGTGCTTATTGTTTCTCAATAGAATATATGTTGTTTGCTACATATTAAGACTATTCTTATTCAAACTGAAACTTTTCACCGTCATGTTCACAAATATAAAGCATTATATATGCGTCTTTTGTACAACATTTATTTCATGAATAAATTTTGTCATCAAAACTAAACACAAAAACAGGTTTATAAGCGGTTTTACTCGGGAAGTGGAAACGTAATTATTCTTCATTTTTTTGAGCATTTCATTTCCGTTTTATACTCAAACTTTCCCCTTTCCCGTCTATATATATCATTGGTAGCTGGCAACATCAACCCTTGGATGGAAGATTCCTCCACACAGTATCGGGTCCTTATTCTATTTGGTGAAAGCCTCCCGTCTGTCTACGTTGTTTACATTTGAAACGATTTCGAGCAGTTATTTCACCAGAGATTGAACAATTTCTCCACAGTTTTGCTGGTTGAACCTAATTTTATTGTCTCTGTTCATACTGAAAGAGATGCATAGTGAGGCAGCTGAGTTCACTGTAAAAAAAAAAAAAAAAACAAACAAACAAAACAAAATGATAGAGGAATAAATGGCCTTGTCCATTGAAGGCAGTAATCTATTGACATTATTCGAACTGTTGTCCTCATCTTTGTCGCCATATTTATTACAACGTTTCAGCCGTTCTACGCTCCGGCCTTCTTCAGGTAGTTGGGAAGTCGAACTGAACCCTTTATTTCGCTCATTGGTGTAGACTGTTTTAGTTCCACGTACCATGTTTAATGGATTTTAGTTATCAGTTATCTCCTGTTAATTCCCCTCTCCAAGTTCTCCACTGCCTTAACCAGGTATTGAACTCACACTCTTTGGGTCCTGTCACTGGATCTAACGAACGCCTTTATCCACTGTGACACGTATCCTAAAGGCCGAAACATTGTAATAAATATAGCGATAAAGATGAGGACAATAGTCCGAATAATGTAAATAATGTACATAATACCTCATCTTAGAAATATAGACAGATACTGAAGGTAGTAATATTGAAAAATGATGTAAATTGTCTTTCGATAATAACCAAGATTCAAATTAAGTCACCCAGTGAGGTTGAAAAATCACAACAATAGTAAAGATCGAATGAAAATCATTTATTAATCATTACTCCAGAGTGTTGAAATATTTAATAAGTAATGCGAAGCCTCTGAAAATATTGATATTTATAGGTTTGGCACAAGGCCATGGCTGTAGATCACCTAGTGAGGATTGAGTATTTTTGGTTAGCCAGAGTAGTTTGCTATTGATCCTCTATCTAACTCGGGAAACTAGTATTGCTATTAAATAATGATTATTTCACGCTGAAACGTCTACGAATGATATAATAAGTGTATTGTAAAAATAAATGTGGCGCGGCTTGTATGAAATATTCAATCAATATTGATTTCTTGACAATGTTCCATTCGTGTCTGTTTGCTTTCTTTTTTCTTTCTTTTAGGATTGTTTAAAATTTGTAAATGTCTTTCATTCATTCATTAATTGTTTCTTTCTGGAATTTTTATAATTTGTAAATTTCTTTCTTTTTTCTTTTTTTTTTTTCTTTTCAAAACTTTTTATAATTTGTTAATTTCTTTCATTCACTCATTCATTCTTCCATCCTTTCTTTCTGTCGTTTTTTCTTTCTTTTTTTTTCCGTGAAAGTTTATAATTTGTAATTTCTTTCTTCCTTTCAACACTTTTTATAATTTGTTAATTTCCTTCCTTCATTCATTCGTTCTTTCTTTTAACACTTTTTATAATTTATAAATATCATTCATTAAAGATTTTGTATAATTTGTAATTTCTTTCTTTCTTTCTTTTATTCATTCATTCAGTCTATTTCTCCTGGGTATGACGATAAACTACATCCGGTAGCAAGACTTCTGATCGATAGATTGGTGGTTTTGAGGAGCGTGGGACTGTTGCCGTTGTTCCCAGGGGTAGTAGCAAAAACTGAACCCCCAAACAAGAATCATTTTAATTCATTTTTAATGATAAAATTACCAATAATAGATTTTTATAGTAAAATGACACTCAATACAACACTTAAAAAAAGGATAAAACTACATTTTTATAAAAAGATTACCAACAGTACATTTTTGTCGTGAAATTACTAGCAATACATTTAAAAACAATTATCAGCAATACATTTTATCATCTACAAACTATATATCTAAACAAACATACGTTTGCCCTGAAAGTATAAAATTACATACAAAATATTTAGATTTCGGCATTAAATAATCCATACAGGAGTTGATAAGTCGCTAAACAAAATCAAACAATCATTTATTCATTCATTCTTTCTTTATTTGAAGAGTTTTTTTTTATGATTTTAAATTTGTTCTTTTTTTCATTCTTTTTTCTATCTTTTAGGTCTCTTTATCTATAGTTTGAAAATTTCTTATTTTTATTTATTTATTTAAGGATAATTTATAATGTGTAAATCTCTTTGTTTCAAAATCTTTATAATTTTTTAATTTCTTTCTTGCATTCATTTATTTGTTCATTCTTTCTTTCATTCGGGAATTTTTATAATTTTAAATTTCTTTCTTTCTTTCTTTCTTTCTTTCTTTCTTTCTTTCAGGACCCTTTATAATTTATAAATTTCTTTCTTTCTTTCTTTCTTTCTTTCTTTCTTTCAGGGCACTTTATAATTTGTAAATTTTTTGCTTTTTTTCAAAAGTCCATTCATTCATCTTTCTTTCTTTCTTTCTTTCTTTCTTTCTTTCTTTCTTTCAGGGCCCTTTATAATTTATAAATTTCTTTCTTTCTTTCTTTCTTTCTTTCTTTCTTTCTTTCTTTCTTTCAGGACACTTTATAATTTGTAATTTTTTTTCTTTTTTTCTAAAGTCCATTCATTCATCTTTCTTTCTTTCTTTCTTTCTTTCTTTCTTTCTTTCTTTCAGGGCATTTTATTTATAATTTGCAAATGTCTTTCTTTTTTAAAAAAATGTTTACGAAATGCATCTTTGAGAATCATTCATATATAAAGTCTCTTTTCCATTCATTCCTATTTAATTTTAGGACTATAGATGGCACATCGACCTGGTGTAATGGTTAGCAAGATTGTCTCGTTGGATCAATCACGACTGACTAATAAGTTCGAACCTCACCGTTTGTTCCGTAATTATGAACTTGTGCTCATCTAAGCTATGTTCAGTAAATTACTACTTTTAGAATTGTATAAGTTTACTCATGCTGACATGACATCTAAAAATTGCCAAATACTTGAACAGCAAGAAAAATATTAGGCGTGCTGCAATATTCTCAAAGTTGAAGACAAGATGTGAGACCTATAAAAAGAGGCTTAGAATACTATGGACAGAACGTGTGAAGACAGATGAAATTTTAAATAATATGGCAACGAAAAGGACACTTGCTTAGGATCAGGAAGAGACAGTTGAAATCTCTCGGATAGATAAAGGGGAAAAGGTACTCGGTGAATCTGATACTCACAGGAATTATTGGAGGCAAAAGAGGCGAAGGGTAGCAAACAAACGTTGGAAAATCTAGTGCTACAAGAAAGAGGAAGATGAAGAGATCCTTGATCTGCCACAGCCTCTATCTCGCATATATAACATTAAATTTTATTCAACTCCGGACTTCGTTATGTACTCTGGCAGTGTTTTTTCTTTGTTTGTGTGTTTGTGTGCGGCCCCTAATTCCAACGCGGTCCTTACATTCTCGTATGCGATGTTTGAGAGGCCCTGGCTATCTTCTCTCTTGGCAGGCTCCTTTTATATCTGCTTGCAATACTTTCCCACGCTCGCAACTGGGCCGATCACGTGGGTCTGCATTCGGCGGCAAGGAGTGCATCTCGGGTAAACCTAACACTTTACTTCCTTGATGATATTGTGTGTGACATTGAATGCAATGTTTATTTTCACGTCCTCTTTGTTTGGACCAGCACATATTTTTATTATTACCCTTCCATTTGGCACCGACAGCATAAGGCAGATTATTCTGGAATTCCTCTTTTCAATATCGTTATAAAAAGTTTCAAAAGTTATTGACTTATTATACAACAAGATATTTGCAAGCTATAACTCGGGGTGCGTGACCTATATCATGACTTCCGAATATTCCTTAAAAAGAGATAGTCAATTACTGAATAAATCGATTGCTATCATTTGCACCGTACTGATTATGCACACACAAGGTCTTTCAGAGTTGTTGAATCAGTCAAGGAAAACTTTATTTAACCTTAGAAGTAAACGGATGTCAAAGTCTTTTTCTGCATTACTATTCTTGAAGAAAATTGCAAGCGAAATGTTTCTTGTTTGGAGATTGGCCAGATAAACACCAGTGGCCGTTTTTATCTTTCTTTGCGAACTGAACAAATTCGGGAGATCATTCTTTCTTTCCTTAACCTTATTATATCTTCTTTTATCTCCATATTTATTCTGTTCCAAAAAAGGATTTCCTCTAAAAAGATCTTTTTTTTTTTTCATTTCCAGCCCATTTCAAAATAACTGCTTGTCGTCACTGAATTTAGAATATTTTAACAGTCCGTAAATAGGAAACGGCTTCTATACTAATGTAATTTGATTGCTAAACTAAATTACAAGTGTTACAGTGTATTTGTTGAAGTACGTATATAATACTACAGAGAGTTTGGCAGTTGTATTTTGTATCAAAGCGTGAATTTTCAACGCACATTTTTGTGACGTACAGAAAACACCTTGAAGTGTAAATGCATGTATATTCTTCGGCGGGGTTTCAACAGTCGGAAAATAAGAACCATATTCTAATTTTATTGATAAATATAACACTTTTTTATACTAAATTTCATTCAGTGCAAGATATGCGGTTGGTGGCGTAATTGATGGCGGCTAGAATGAGAAATTGAAGAGCCGTGTTCGAATTCTACTCTAGTTCGTTCTCTTTACTTACACGCAAATACGATTCGGAAAGGTATGACTCCATCTCTTCTCCACTCAGCTATGGGTTAAATAGCGCGACTTGTATTTAGAAAAAAACTGTTATCTAAAAAAAGTGATAATGCAATATTTACTCGCAAAAAAAGAATTATTCTAACGATGCATAATATGGTTGAATTTAAATAAGCCTCAATCGGTTCATAAACCTTAAAATATAAATCAATCAATCAATAAATATAAGGCCCCAGATCCACTAAGAGTACAGGTTTTCTTTTAAGATGGTTATGATGAATGAGGTATTTGATGTAAATGAAAGGAGTGAAAAGAGGTTACGGTTGTAGTGGTCAGAGAATCAGCCACGCCGGGGACTATTTTACAAAGTAATTATTCTTGAAAAAAATGATGTGACTGCCATCTTACATTTGAGACCCGGAAGAAATGAGTGTGATATGACTCTGTGTAAATAGCATGGGGTGTCCGACTTATAAAGGAACTAAATAATGCAACTCATTTGAACATTTGGCATGGAAATAGATATAGAATACAGACAATCTTGCAACTTTGCGCCTCTGTGGAAAGAAACTGTAGAGTGGAAAATAAGACATTCGCCACAAAACCGCGTAAACAACTTTGAACTCTATCAAGGCCGGAAATTGAGGATTGAGCAGCTTCTGCCATGATTTACAAGAGTCAGATTAGACCAAAAATAGAGTATTGCTGATATATCCGAACTGAAGCAGCTCAATCCTCTAAAAAGATATATTTTTTTTTCATTTCCAGCTCATTTCAAAATAACTGCTTGTTTGATTTCTAAACTAAATTACAAATGTTACAGTATATTGGTTGAAGTATATAGAGTAAACAGTTTCAAAACATGAAGCCTCCTTGAAAGTCCTCCGTTCATCGGGACCGGAGAAAAATGATTAGGGCGAGGATTGAATGGCGATGAAAGTGTTTAGAAGTTAATATATCTCATATTATAAAGTTATACAGATGATACTATATGGATATTTTAAAGTATTTTTTATGTTTAAAAGCAACCATTTTCTCCAGTCTTCTTCCACGCGTCTTCTTCCTCCTCTTCTTTTTCTATGTGCCATGCTCATTCAGAATGTGGGAAATCATGGCTCTCCATGACTTCCTTTCCTTTGTAGTTTTTCATAAGTTTTTTTTTCGCTATCTCTCCCAATCTCTATTTTGCAATCGATTTACACAAATAGATTACAGGATGCTTTCCTATATTCATCCTGTCTTGTGAGTGTCAAATTTTACAAGCCCTTCTTCTTCATTATGTGTACTAGAAATTTCAACTATCTCTTTCTTCTGATGCCTATCCTAAATATAAACATCCTTTTTATTCTTCGTTACTCACATATTTAATCCATGGTATTCTCAGCCCCCTTCTACAAAAACCATATTCCTTTTGCCTCAAGTCTCTTCAACAGGAAAGAGATCCTTTGACGTTTAGTGCCATGGAGTAGGGCTAATATTTTAAAGCAGTTTAGTTTTCTTTTGTTTGTTTCAAACGAACTTTTCTTGTTTAGCTTTTGAAAGGCGTCATTCGCGATTCCATTGCGTCTTCGGATTTAGGTGTCACTTTTTTCCGTCATCTCTTAGAACACTTACATGCATTTATATTTTCGTACTTGCCTAGTGTCGACATCTGATTGTAATCATCTGAGCTGATAATATTTATTTACACTATTTACATTGTTCGGACCGTTGTCCTCATCTTTGTTGCCATATTCACGACGTTTCGACCGTTGTACGCTCCGACCTTCTTCAGGTGATTGGAATTTCGAACTGAACACTTTATTTCATTCATCAGAGTATATTTTTCTATTTCCACATGTCATACCTCTTCTGGATGTCTCAGTATCAGTTATCTCCCTTTAACTCAACTCTCTAAGCTTTTTGTTCACCTCAGCTGTAGCCACCCTTTGGGTCCTGTCACTGGATCTAACTAACGCCTTTATCCACTGTGCATAAAGGCCTTAGTTAGATCCAGTGACAGGACCCAAAGAGTGTGAGTTCAATATCTGGTTATGGCGAAGAACTTGGAGGGGAATTAACAGGAGATAACTGATAACTGACATCCATTAAACATGGTACGTGGAACTAGAACAGTCTACACCAGTGAGCGAAATAAAGGGTCCAGTTCGACATTCCAACCACCTGAAGAAGGCCGGAGCGTACAACAGCCGAAACGTTGTAATAAATATGGCGGCAAAGATAAGAACAATAGTCCGAATAATGTAAATAGTGTCCAAATTAACCATAACAATAATAAATTTCAAGCAGGTATATATAAAATCAGTTACCAGAATTGCTCCTTACAATATCTTGGGGAAACTTGCAGAAATTAAGTAAATGTATCTATGAACACAAAAGAGGTTTATATACAACAATTTATCAAATACATTGACTATACATATAAATAAATTCATTCAAACCTTTGATCTTAAACATGGGGGAAAATAGTAGCATTTTGAGCCTAGACTGAGGGACAAAGAGCGATATTTTGATGCGAGGCAAGGCGCACAAGAACTTCAATTAAGCATAATTAATCATAACATTTTCGTCTCTGCTATAAAACGAAGTTTATTTGAGACAAGGCGTAACCATCAGCAACGTATCCTACCGAACTAAAATGGAGATTAAGAAAGACATTTGCTAATTTTGGCTGACGAGTACCTGAGAATCTGAGTGTGGGGTATGGCTGAGGGTGACAGAGGACTTTTCTTATTGTTCTTTCGTTCTTACAATTCAGTTTTGGGAATGGAAGAATTGCTCTCATTGGCATTCAGTCGAGTATCGAAATTTAATTAAGTATTCCAGGAAATTAATTACCGTCAGTCAACGTTTTAGGCACTCATATTAACGAATATGAATCATACATATACGCACGCATACACACATACATACGTGCGCGCGCGCAAAGACA